AACCCTAAACCCTAATTTAGGGTACCCTGGCATTGAATGTGGTACTCATGTCAAGTTCATGCAAAACTTTGTGCAACCATCCTTGCAGGTCTCATAAAGAATGACTGGGCTCCAAAAAGGGTTTAGGGTCTAGGGTTTAGGGTTTAGGGTTATGTAGGTAGTAAAACCGCACAACACCAGGCATCCCTTATCCTAGACGTCCCCACTGACCAAGGAACCGTCTAGTTGATCCGTTGTTTTGGCTAAGCAGGGCGCTCATACGCCAAAATACTGAAAAAATGACAGCTATCTTATCCCTTGTTTTGGGTTGAACGCCATGATTATGGGATTACACACGCTCAACCCTCCCCCCCTAAACCCTAAACTATATCCTACCCAGACTGCATAGCCCTGACCCTCCTAGGAGGGTCCGGGTAAGGAACCCTAGGCCTTTAGCCCCAAACCCTCAAGCCTGAACGGTTTAAGGATTTTTTAAGGGTGTAGGGTAAACCCTGAACCCTAAACTCTAAACCCCTAAACCCTAAACCCCTAAACCCGAAACCCTAAACCCTAAACCCCTAAACACTAAACCCTCCACTGATGGCTCGTACCTTGAGGAAAACTTGTTCCATAACCTCAGTGCGCGAGCCCAATCATCAGGTTTAGGGTTTAGGGTTTAGGGGTTTAGGGGTTTAGGGTTTAGGGTTTAGGGTATAGGGTATAGGGTTTAGGGTTTAGGGTTTAGGGCGCGGAGCCTAAAGCCGCAACCTAAACCCTACGCCCTAAACGCTAAACCCTAAAACCCAAAATGTAAGGAGACAGCAGAATGACCAACCACGGTGGCTTCAGGATTCGAATTTTCATCGCCCTTTTCGGAATACTGCCTAAAAGCCTTCCAGGACCACCAAATCCTTTAGGGTTTTAGGGTTTGGGAGTTGGGTGTGTGGGTCCCTAAGGTTCCAAGGACCTAAATAATGCGGGTTTTAGGGGCGAACTACTATATATCAATGGTATGTTGGGCCCTAGAACCCGATTATTTGGGTCCTTGGACCCTTAGGGTAAGAGTCTTTCAGGACACCCAAAGGTTTAGGGTTTAGAATTAGCGGTGTTTAGGGTTTAGGGTTTAGAGTTCAGAATTAAGGGTTTTTGAGTTTCAGGTTTCGGGTGTAGAAAACTGGCCCTTTTGGGTTATTTCAATGGTTTTGGGCCATCATTCTATATACCCAGTTTCGGCGGCGTTTGTTTTGAAGGCTTGACGCAGAAAGGCCTGCAAACATGCATTTCAGACATGCTTGATGGACATCATTTTCTCTGAAAGCCCTGCACCGCGACGATGAGTGGAAGCAATTTCTGCAACCCTAAATCCTAAACCCTCAACCCTAAACCCCAAACCCTAAACCCTAAACCCTTAAACCCTCAACCCTTAACCCCAAACCCTGCTCTGCAAGCTGCCCAAGATCAGAGCGAAAACAGACCCTGCTCTCCCTTCATCTGGGCTGCCGTTCAGGGACTTAAATGAAGTCAGCATTTTATGGGTGTGTATTATATGTATATATATATATAGTTTCGGGTTTAGGTCTTAGGGTGTAGGGTTAGGGTTTAGGGGTTCAAGTTACGAGAATATGGGAATATTGTGAATGATAGGGCTTCTTTATTATAATGGTTAAATGTTAAATCCTTTACAGCAGCCCAGTCATACTGCGACACATTCCACTCAAACAACGCCCGTCCTCTGCTTTTTGAATGACGTAAATCGTGAGCCCCAAGCGTCTTGCATCCTCCGCTCAACAATCCTAGACCCTCCACCTACCCGCTGTTAAGGCGCAAGTACCCTTTGGGGGACCCTATGGCCTTGATTGAGCGTGCTGGGAAGGGTCTGGGATCTTACCCAAATTCGCGTGAGGTCCAGATGAGTCCTGATAACCGCTACGTAAAAATCAAAGTAACAATACCCTGAAAGCCTAAACCATAAACAATGATAACAGTGATGGGTCCTAGAAACTCTCTCCGCCATTGCATCCGTCATCTCCAAACAGTGCGTCTTGGACCAGGTGAAGTACATGAGCAAGTGCTGCCTGTCAATACCTGGACTCAGGGTTTAGGGTTTAGGGTTTTGGGGTGGTCTAGGGTCTAGGATTTACGGTGTACGGTTTGGGGTTTTGGGTTTAGGGTGAAGCGTTTAGGTGCTGGGTGTCAATACCTGGATCTATAGGGATGATATGGCACTACTTAGGGGATTACAGGGACCACATAGGGGATTGCGGGGACTACACATAGGATTATTATTGCAGTCCTGCTACAGGTATGTTAGAGCGGCAGAGGCTGACTCTGGGCTAAGGGTCACAGGTAGGTGGGACATGGCAAGTCCATGTCTAGACCCATGGTCCATCCCATGCTAAATTCAGGCGATTGCTTGGCGTAGTGGGCCCTAAACCCTTAACCCCAAACCCCTAAACCCCTGAACCCGAAATCCTACGCCCCTAAACCCTAAACCCCTGAACCCTAAACCCTAAGCCCCTAAACTCTAAACCCAAGCCTTGCCAAAACTTTCCCGAACTCCTCAGGCGAAGTGGCAACTGCATGGAGCTTTGCCGGACGCAACCCTCAAACTCTCTAAGCCCTGATTGATAAACCCCATCTCCTGGAAAGGGATTATAGTAGGGATCCTGATATTAAGGCACTTAAAAGGAGGATAAGTGGTCTACATTAAACCATAAGCCCTCAATCCCAAACGCTACTATGCTCAAAAGGAAGAACCCAAACCCTATGTTTGAGGGTTTCGGGTTTAGGGTTCTACTATGCTCAGCCAGAAGAACATGCCAAACCTGCATCCTACCACTCCTTAGCGGCCCCTTAGCTCCTTGGTTGGCCTAAAAAAATGGACTTCCACGGGTTTAGGGTTTAGGGTTTAGGGCTTTTGGTTTAGGTTTCCACATCTTCCGGCCCGGGCTGGCCATGAGGTCGGGGCGAAGATGGGACAAATTTGAGTTGCTGCTAAGGGGGTTTAGGGTTTAGGGTTTAGGGTGTAAACAATGGGGTTTCCTTGTTATAGTAGTTTAAGATTTCTTGGCAGCAACCCAGTCTTATATTCAAGCTACCATACTGGGTTTATTGAAGAACTAAATTCATACCCTCAATATAGTATACCTTACATTAAGTTCCTGAACAGCAACCCAGAATTGCAGGCAAGGCACATAAAAGTGCCTCAGCCATCAGTGACATTGGGAAGACGCTCTAAACCCCAAACCCCAAACCCTTTCTTGCTGGTTTACGGTTGAGGGTCTAGGGTTTATGGTCAAGGATTGAGAGTTTAAGATTCATGGTTTAGGATTTTCAAGGCTGGGTGGCTTTGGATTCAGGCATGCTGTGGTGCTGCAAACCTGCTAAGTCGACATATGCGGGTTCCCAGGATTTAGGGGGTCTTTTTTGGGGCGTCTCCGTAGATTGGAATATACGGAGGTTGAAGTTGGCGTACCGCTCTTTACAGAATCTACCGTATAATCTCAACATGGATAGAGTTTCTACATATTCCGGTTGGAGCAGACGGTGGCCAGCAGGGCCCACAAAATGGTTTAACCCTAGACCCAAAACCGTAAACCGTTGCCCGAGTTGCCAGGAGGAACATGTGTTGGAGAGGGGGGGAAGGCTGCTCCACTCAGCCAAAATTGAAGATTGGTTGTTATTCCTCGTAGGTTTACTACTATGTTTCTGCTGCTTACTATTTAATACTATCACTAAACTGCATTTTCTATTACTGTTAATACTGTCACTAGTTCTTATCTTGGAAAGTATGGACGACTCAGGCGTCAGCCGAGAGAACAGCCAAGAGCTGGCGGAAGAGGCCGACGCCCACAGGGGTGTTCGGGTTAACGCCTGCAGGCAGGATGTTTGAAGGTTGGTCGGGCTCCTCCTTTGGGATAATGCTTTAACAGTTAATACCCCTCTTCCAGTCTTAGCATAATATTGGATGTGAAACTTTATCAGGCGAAAACGCTACCCCCTGACTTAAAACCCACCATAATACGTACTTGTTCAAGGGCTTATAAATCCTGAAGAGCAGTGTTGAAAGGGAAAGACTGCTTTTTCAAAAGAGGCCACCTGATAATGGATTGCGGGGGGGAAGGATGTCGGATAGGTTGTAATTAGATGTTAATTCGACTTCAACTGGTTCTTAAATAAGCTTTGATGGTATGAACTGATTGCTCATGAGATTTCAGTCGGTTTAAGATTTGAAATTAGATGTTAACGGCGTTCAATTTGATTCTAATGAAAATTTAGTAAGATTTCAATTGAGGTTAATGATATTGAAAGTAGATTGCACTTCAAAGAGGCTGTCCTGCCTTACGCTTTCAAGAGGCATTCCATACTAAATACTCTTGGGGCTCGGAGCATTTGATATGATGGGGGGAGGGGGGAGGACGTTTTTGACAATTCTTGGGGGAACAGTTATTATTGTGGTTTGGTCCTTGCGCAGTCCTACAGAAGATAGCCTTGGCAACTCCGCCTGTTTGTTGGTTCTTCTGGGGCTGCTATGAGCTTTCCCCAGTACATTAGGGTGGGGACTATTAAACTTCTCAAGACCTAAGCCTACAACTACAGCCTTCGGGACTATGAGGCTTGTCAAGACTTATTAGGGCTTATTAGCCCTCATCAAGTAAGAGGGGTGCCGATTGGGGGGCCCGTGGTAGTCCTGTAAGTTTAGGGGTTTAGGGGCTTGGGGGGTTTAGGGAGTAGGGGTTTAGGGTTGGGGTGGCTGCAGAACAGCTGTCACTGTGTCTGAGGCCCAAGACCCGGCTCGTTATGTTGGATCTATGGGACCTGGGGCGACATGCTAGGCAATTAGAACTAAAATCCAAAGCCCTAAAACTGTAAAGTCTGAAAATTAGACGCTAAACCTTAAACCCTAAATTGTAGATTCCATGTTCTTCTCCGTTATCCCTGTATAATCCCTAAATTCTATTTACCTGAGGGGGCTTGCGTCATCAGCGAGCTCTTCAATTTCGAGGTGAGTAGCGGTGAGTAGCGTTTGTTGGTGGTTGAACCTAGTAAGATTACAATCCTTGTATAAAATACTATACCCAAGAAGGAGGAGATAATCTTACTTCATATTGGGTATCATACCCTCCCCAAATATCACCCCCCCCAAACCCTAAACCCTAGATCCCTAAACCCTAACCCCTAAATAGTATCATTATTATTACCATAATACCCCCCAAAAAAATACTACACCGGAGAGGGATGCCTCTGATGGAAACGGTACTTGGAGGGTCTCGGTACACTCGTTCCCTGCAATCAAAAAACCTTTTCACAATGGAGAATCAAATTGCAAAGAAAATGGAACCTGACATGGGCACTAGGATTACATAGTGGGTTACCCTAAGGGTCCAAGGACCCAAATAATAGGGCCCAAATAGTGTAGTATCAATTGCATTTTGGGCCCCAAAGCTCTATTATTTGGGTCCTTGGACCCTTAGGGCTTTATACCGCCTAATCCCTAAACCCTACCAGTGGCTCCAGTTAAGTTACCTACCGTTCAGGAATAGTAGATAAAGCTGTAAATAAGTGCAGCCACACAGTTAGTTAAACGTGTGCCGAAGCGCAACCCAAGGAGTTCTTTTTGAAATGCGCGCCGCAATTCGCAATCAGGGATGCAAAGGCCGGGCAAGTTCCATGTCCACCGTAGGTCTCCAATATTTCTCCCCCAAACCCTAGACCCTAAACCCTAAACCCCAAACCCTACACCCTAAACCCCAATATAGGCAACATTCATAGACTTTAGGGCCCCAACCTGAAGCCCCCGGGTGATGGAACCACCCACCGTCCTCATCTTCTGAAGTCACTGCGCCGGGAAGTGGATGTTTGAGGCATAGCCTAGGCCTCTTTGCCACTGGCTTTGGGAGGAGTGGCTGAAGGTCCGGACCAACTGACCATCAAATGGACAAAGCCAGCAACACCGGATAACAGTATGATGAACCAAGACACAGGGTTGTTAAACTCGTACTTGGGATGATTCCGCAGCAAACAGTGGAGCCCAACGTGGATGATAGAGAAGATGCTGAACAATGCCCGGGCCATTGATGAGCCTCGCGTGGCACTTAGAAGCAGCCAGCACAGAGGTATGTGAAGCAGAATGAAGACGTCCCGAGCCAAATCATCATCTGAGATTAAGTTCAGCAACGGCAGGATGCGCCACTCGTGCCGGAACGTGGCATCCATCTCATGAACCAGCATGGCAGTGAAAGACAAATCGAAGGCTGCCATCGCTGCTAGTAGCAAGGCTATCTTAACCTCGACAGTAGGTTAGGAGGCTCTGTAAACTTAGAAGCCTACTTATCGAAGAGGTAGTCTACATGAAGCGAGTTGAGGGACATAAACGCAGGGCTCTAGGCCCAGTTATATGTAATAGCAGGTCTGTCTGAAACTTGTTGATGGTGTTTGCTCTGAGCCGGGACATACACAACCACGAAATCCAAGCGATTGGCGCCCAACCTTGCAAGGCGTATCAATCTTTGGGTGTATGCACCGACTATTACGCAATCCAACTAGACCTGTAAGAAAAACAAGATTTTTGATTGTTCCTTTGGGTTGTATTATCATGAAAATAAAATCCTAAGAAGATTACAGCATGCGCAACCCTACAAGTCCTCTGTAAGTGCAGTGGGCGGGTCTTCGTGTCCACTGGCGTGTTTTAGGAGCTACCCTTCCAGGTCACCTCAACACTTCGCTCATCAGTTCTTACGTCACTCATACATGGGTCCTTCCGTATCTGGGTATGATTGCAGACGTCAGCCTTGCATTCCTTCCTGGATTTTTGAATGAGAGCTAGAACCCTAAACTCTATAGTCCCCCTTAAGTAGATAGAATCTGGGATATGTGGGGGTTTCCCAAAATTAGGGGTACCTTTTTGGGAGTCCCCATAATAAGGACTATAATATTTTTGGGTCTATATTGGGGTTCCCCTATTTTGGGAAAGTACCATATGGGGACCTTATTATAATATACCCAAAGCCATATTCCATCTACTTGAGGGGAACATATACATATATTTAGATATATTGGAAATATATTTATAGCCGTACCGTATTGTAGGGGGGTCACTGTCAGGGGATGGCGAAGTTTATTATCAGGAAGAGGGGATTACATCAGTTCCTGAAATCAAGAGTGCCACGCAGACTCCCCAATCCCTCACGCGACAGAAACAGCCGCAACTAAACCCTAAACCCTAAAAACCCTTGGGCCAAAATATGTAATAGGTAAAGGGGGTTTCCCACATTTTCCCTCCACAATACGAACCGCACCATACCACAATTTTGGATACCGGGATTCCAAAAAGTGAGCGCTAATGGTTGGAAACCCTAACACCTAAAGGTCCCAAACAGAATCCCCATGTACCCCTCTACATATATATATATATGCACAACATATATCCCTATTCATCCCCTGTTATAACCCCTTTGAAAAGGGGGCCCTGATTTGAACAATTTGCGCAACCTCCAAACGCGAACGCCATCTGGGCTATAGCCTAAACCCAGGGTATCTTCCTTGTAATACGCCTAGAATGCTCCCCTATATATTCACCTACACATCCCCCCTTCGAGGAGTTTAGACCCTAAATCCTGAATCCTAAACCCTAATCCCCATATAATCCCCTACATATCCTCCTTCAAGGAATTTATACTCCTTCATGTACCCCTAGAACTATAACCCTGCGAGCGTCATCTGCCTAGGCCATGAAGAAGGCTCAGCAAGTCTCCGGAGAAGCTGCGCTTGAGAACCTCTGCCATTCAAAGTCGGGCATGAAACTCTAGGGGTCCGTAAGCCCTATACAAAGGGTTTAGGGGTTAGGGTTTAGGGTGAATATTGGAGTTACGTTGGGATTATATAGGTATAACGAAAAGAAAGTGGAAACTACTATTTCGGATCTTTATAGGGGTAAGAACTGAGGATTTAGGGTGTAGGGATTTTGTGCAAGGGTTAGAGTCTAAGGTTTATGGTTTAAGCTTCGGCGCCCCCAAAGTAGCAGCCATTATGCCCATCATTTACACAACAGAACAACGAAACATACTTAGCAACTCAACATTACCTCCAATGCTCTAGCTGACATGGGTTTAGGGTTTAGGGTTCCATAGCAAGAACACCTGCAACTGTGCTGCTGTGTTCCAAAACTATGTTCGCGCTTAGCAGTACAGCAAGGTACACGCAACAACGGTGATGTACTATGAGCCATTGTCTAAAACTTCTGGTATCCCCCTTAATACCCCCTGAAATAGTACCCTATATAATTCGCTATAGAACCCCCCCCCAAGGAGTTTAGAACCTAAACCCCAAACTCTAATCCCTGAACCCTATATTATGTAGTCCCTATATAACCCACCTTCAAGGAGTTTAGACCAAAGGTCCTATGTTAAACCCTAAACCCTAAACCCTAAACCCTATACTGTAGCCGGTGCCTTCTGGTTGATGCGCCGCCGCCACTTCGACGAGCCAAGAACCTGCCTTGCTCTGTTGGAGTTTAGGGTTTAGGGGTTTAGGGTTTAGGGTTTAGGGTTTAGGGGTTTAGGGTTTAGGGGTTGAGGGGTTTACGGTTCAGTGTTCAGGGTTTAGGGTTTAGGGTTTTAGGGTTTTGGGTTTCGGCAACTCCAACCCCCAAAATTAGGACCCTATAGCAGTCATGGGACGGTTGCTTCTTGGGACTGAGGACCCCAAGTAAGGGCTTACTCTTAGGTACCTCTAGTAGGATAGGAGTATATAGAGAAAATTCTACAGGGTTAAGGGTCTAAGGTCAAATCTGAGTCACAGGTGTTTTGGTACCCCCAATCCCCTAAAGTTAGGAACCTATAACAATCATTGGATGGTTATAGGGTCCTAATTTTGGGGGGTTGGGGTTTCCAAAAAGTCCTTACTATTGCAGTGGGGGAAAATAGCGGCTTCATTGCACGCACTTAGCAATGCAGGGTAGTCTCCATAAATAGGGGCACCCCCTCTATAGACCCAATATACTATAATCCGTATTATTGGGAGCCCTCCCCCAAAGGGACCCCTAAATTTGGGAAACCCCCATATATAGTCCCCGTCAAGTAGATAGAATATGAGGTATGTGGGGAGGTCTTATTTCAATCTGCCCAAAGCCATACTCCCTAAACCCTAAACCCCTAAACCCTAAACCCTAAACCCTATCTACTTCAGGGGGAACATAACGCAACAAGCCTTAAACTCGCTCGAGGCGCTGTCCTCCCTTTTCCCCGGAAATTACCTAGACCCTCCTCCTATCCTCTATTAGGGCCGAAGTACCCATTATTAGGGACCATATATCCCCAATTCAGGGTACTAGGAGGGTCCTGGTAGGCTAAAGGAGCATGCCGTGGGTTTCCTTAAAACACGGTCTGCCTTCCGTGCAGAGAAGCACAGCAAGTGTATGTCCCAAGGCCGAAAGAAGATCTTTGAGCTTAGGGTTTAGGGTCTGGCAGCCACCCATTTTATGCAGACAAGCCACATTAAGTCATCCTCCTTAGATGGATGCGCGACCGGACTGACAGAGAGTCCACGCGTTCTTGGAGGCCTGTTGTTCTTCTCTGAGGAAACCCTTGGAGCTGCAAGGCGCAATGTATGCTGTTTTGCCTTGCTTCCCACAAAACCAACATACACACGTAAGTCGAACAAAGCGAGCAAAGTTCTGAAGCAAAACGGCAACTTCCAGCATTTCTCCATATGCGAAGTAGACCCCCAGGAAGTTTACATTTGAAACCTGTACCCTAAGGGTCCAAGTACCCAAAAATCATATACTTACCCAAAGCCCGTACTATAATTACTATTACCCAAAACCCAACTACCCAAGTATTGGGTACATGGACCCTTAGGGATACCCTAAAGCCTAAACCGCTCGGCTGCACGTCGCGCTTCTGACGTCTCACGGTGCTCCCGGAGGTATTCGAGAAGGAGCACGAACTCCATGGGTGAAACCTGGGAGAGAAGAACAAAATGATCATCCTGTTTTAGGGTTTAGGGTTTCCCTAAACCCTGAATCCTAAACCTTAATCCCTAAATTCTCGGTCATGAGCGTACAGTGTAAACCTAGACGCTGAAACCTGCAAGGGACCAATACGAAGACCCAAAAATGATTGTCCCAAAAGACGCATTTCTGATACTTCCAACCCCTAAATCTTCCCACGTCAGGCGGTAGTGGACGATCCTTGACCCCTGTTCACACTTCATGTTCCCTGGAACCACCACGGGTTATTCGACCCTAAAATTCCTATTAGGACCCTATTAGGGGTAGATTAAGGTACCCTTAAGGTCTATTGGACCATAGTGGAACTCGTTTAGGGCTTTATAGTTTCAGCCGGTCACTGAGAGAGATCGGAAAGCTGCTTTCCGAGAACTTGCAGAGGTAGGGCCTAAGCCTAAACACTGGCCTCTATAGACCCTATAGACCCTAAAGCCTAAATCCTAAACTTTAAAACCTACAGCCTAAACCCTATAAATCCTAATCAAATAAACCCTAAACTCTAAACCTATAAGCCCTAAACTCTAAACCCTAAACTCAAAGCCCTAAACCCTGAAGGTTCAAGGAACATCGCGCGGCGCTCCGTCGTAGAGCACATTTTGTGGCACCTCACTGCAGGCAGATGGCTTCCACTTCAGGGCATAGGGCATGGGGTATAGGCTTTCCCTTGTGGTTTAGGATTTAGGGGACTTAGGGTTTAGTTTAGGGAAAACTCATGGATGTCCTTCCTTTTTGTGGGTAATGTCACATACATTTGTAGGGTATACTACGAAAAAGGTAGGACATCCAGGGTCCAGGTAGGGCATGGGGTAAAGGCTTTCCTCAGTGGTTCGAAACTGAAATTTCGCGTAGGGTTTGGGGGTTTCGGGTTTAAGGTTTAGGTAGATACCAGAAACCAGTGAGAATGTCGTATTTGGCCATGTTATTTGATTGCCCAAGGAAAATCTTTAGAGTCCCTATCCTGGCATGCACCCTTGATCTCTTCTGAACCTCCTGGTCCAGCATGGCCACGCATCAAATCCCGTGAGGACGAGACGAGCCAGGAATGTGTGGAACTTCCATCCCTTGTAGGTCCAAGGACCCAAATAGCAGGGGTTGTAGGGCCCAACTACAATAATGTTAATGGTATTTGGGACCCCTAAACCCTAAACCCATTATTTGGGTCCTCGGACCCTTAGGGATCCTAAACCCTAAACCCTCCTTGGACCCTTAGGGATCTGGAGTCGAGGCACCAAGCGGCGCAGTCGCCCATTGAGGC